ACAAGGTCATACAGTCCCTACAAGCTTTATCCTTATTTCCTGCAAATCTCATTACTGCTCTAGAGCACAAGCAGGCAGTTATGTCTTAGTCCTGAACATCTTGGTAGGATTCAGAAAGCTGCTAATTATTGTGATAAGGAGACAGTGAAATGTAACTTAATGAATATATCTTTGCCAGGTGCTGAGCTAGAGCAGGTTTCAAGCTCAGTAGCAGCCTGCCAGTATTACTAACAAAAATCCCTTTAAACGAGGGAAAAAAGTCTCTTCATCTAGTCACCTGTGTTGGACAGTAGCAATAAAATACCTGGCAGTTGGGGAAGCTGTTTTTTCCTTTCTGCTGCTTGACTCCAAGAGGAAGATGAGCTGATGATCCTGCTTTGCAAAGGCATCCAAAATTCTTAGGCAGGCACAGGGAACGACGGGTGAGGCAAAGCCGGGTGCATGTGGGCAAGCAACAGACAGAGGAAAGCTCAGAGGAAAGGAAGGGAAAGCTTAGGACTGGTTTAGAAGGGAGCTTGGAAATGTGAAGGTTCTTATTGGGAAACTTAATTTTCATCTAGATTTTTTTTTCTAGAATGTAATCATAATTTAATAATAGAATATAATAATAATTTATAATACAATGTTTTATTTGTTTCCTTCCAGAAGAAGATGTGATGAGAAGTAATACAGTGTGCAATCACCTAAATGTTAACATTATCACTTCTGTTTGATAATTTGAGGAATAAAAGGAAGCAATCTGGCTCCGTGTTTTTTCAGGAGGAGTATATATATATATATATAGTAAACCAGCCTAGATCAATAGATATGCAGTTAGCCTATGTTTGATTAGATTTTTTTTTTATTTTTTTTTTAATTAGCAAGTGGCAGATTGGGAGCAGTTACTGACTCCGGTCTGTTCAGGGTCATCAACTGCCCAGTATTTTGCCAGATCTTCAAGAGGGAATAATAATCGATACACTAATTGAACGTGGATCACGCCAATCTAGAAGTATCAAATCATTTGTAGGGTGAGATGTGGAAGGAACATAAAGCCAATGTGTTTTGACGGTAGGTGAGTAAAAATAGTTTGCTGCACAGTCTCTTGCGAAAAACAGCTTTGTGGTGTGGGGGAGGGTTTTTAAATGCGACTGTCTTGACTTCAGGGAGAGATTCTGGGCAGAGCAGCCAATTATAAAAGATTAGGCAAAATAGGGCACGGAGTGAAACATTTGCAGCCAGCAAGAGCTGCAGGAGTTTAAGGCTTAAGGACTGGGCATCCCTCACAAATAAGACCAGAAGAGTTGCGTGGGCTAAACCTTTCCGGGCACTTACGCACTGAACCAAGTTACAAAATCATTTCCGCTGGCGAGAGCTGATGTGAACCACGGAAGGTGGCTCGAGCGTGATGCTGGATCCTCTTCTAACTCATCCGTGTAGTTCTTCTGGCCATCCCTGCACGGCCCCGACAACTTGGTGAGGGTCCCTTGGACAGACTGTGGGTGTGGGTGCTGCTGGCTCTGATCTGGGGGCAGTCTGGTCCCGCACTGGGGGTCTGGGCTGTCCCTGGGGCTGTTAGCTCCTTGCAAACGATCTCTGGGTAAGTTTTGCATGAGCACAGAGTCCCACGGGATTGTTTCTGGATGACTGGAAGCACGACTTTTCTGATTTGAGGAGCTAATTATATATAAATACATTTATGTATAAAAGTATACATACCTATATAAAATTATATCTATATTAAATTATAATTACATGTGAATTAGGTGTAATAGTTACTGTGGGCATTAATTGTAATTAATGTATAATAATTACATATAAAACAGTCTTGCATGCAGATTCTTCTAATGTAACTTCTTCCTGTTGTGAACTGGCAGTTTGTATCCTGGAAAAACCCCTCTCCTCAGTTATTGGCATTTGCATAAAATCACCAATCACTCGTGCTTGGCGGCGACGCAGGGCTGTACGTCACAGGGCTGTGTAGCGGGGCACGTGGGAGCTGCTTCTGTGCCGCGAGGAGCAGCAGGAGCCTGCCCCAGATAGATGAATAGTTCTTTTTTCCTTTCTGTCCAGCAGTACAATCTAACCAACTTGAACAAAATTTTAATTTACGCTGAGGCCTCCTGGCTGCTCACCGCTTCAGTAATTCACAGAGGGGTTGCTTGGCTGTTAACCTTTTAGTCAACAGCTCTCGAAAAGCTGGATGGGTGTCCGGTTGCGTTCTCTCCAAGATCCTGACATTCGCTTTGCCATACAAATTAAAAATAGCAGCTGCTGTTGATTTCAACGTATTGGATGATTGAAGCAGGGCAGAGAGCATGTGGGCTGCTGTCAGGACTCCTGAGGACACTCACCAGTGGTAACTTGAAGAACTTTTAAGTACTCGTGTGTCTCAGAGGCACAAAAAAGAGAAAAAAAAAGGCTTGTGCTTGTATGAGGGGAGGAGGAGGAAAGGTAGGAAAGGGAAGAAGGCTCATTCTTTGAAATGTGATACGTTGGGGTTTTTCACTTACATCAAAGCATCATTTTAAGAAAGGTTTACTCAGCCAGCTAATATTGCTTTACCTGCATTCCAACTCACAAATGAGCACAACACTAACACAAAATATGCAGAAAGATAGAGTTTTTGTGTTGGCTTGGAGGTCACTTTTTGTTTTCAGTGCACTTTTTCATGGGGTTGCTTGTGCTTTAGCTCTCGGAGCTTTCCCTCCAAGCAACTGAAAAGCAAACGTATATAGTGGCAGTGATTCTTACGTCTTCGTAAGGGAAGTTTAGGTTGGGTATGGGGAAAAATTTCTTTACTGAAAGAGTGCTGAGACATTGGAACAGGCTGCCCAGGGAAGTGGTGGAGTCACCATCCCTGGAGGTGTTCAAAAAATGTTTAGACCTGGCACTTTGGGACGTGGTTTAGTGATCACGGTAGTGCTGGGTTGCTGGTTGAACTTGATGATCTTGGAGGTCTTTTTCCAACGTTAACAATTCTGTGATCACAGACAAAAAGCTAGATTCCTAAGGGTTGAATATGATGCTCCTTAGTACCATGAAAACTCCTGTAGATGTTCTGCAGTTTGGACGGGATAAATGTAGATCAAATAGCTCCTGGGGTGAAAAGGCCATTCAGGAAAACCACTGACCCAGGGGGGCTGGAATATTAAATTACTCTTGTGCTTTCATTATAGAAATTAAAGTGGTTATAAATGTACTGCATAATTTGCACATCTTCTTAAACTTATTTGTGACACTGGGAGGTTTTATTAAAATTATTTCAGATGAACTTTGCTTCCCTCCCTCCCCAGTTCCTTCACCTTTGTATGACCCATTGGCCTATGATGTGTGTGTCTGGGAACCTTGGCAGAAACCAGCTAAATTAGAGAAACCTGAATTGCAGCTTTCCAGAATCAATGAAGTGAAGAAACACTTATAAAGTTACTTGTGTTACCAGTTCTTTTGGTAAATAACGTTAGTAACGCAGGTCTTGTCAGCAATGCGCTACTGACCCATCAAAAATTGCTTCCCAGGGTTGGAGCCATCAAGTCCAGCTTAAATGTTTCTGTCTGCATCTAAACCCAAAATATGAATTCCTTAAACATAGAATCATAGAATCATAGAATGGCCTAGGCTGGAAGGGACCTTAGAGATCATTTAATCCAACCTCCCTGTCATGGGCAGGGATGCCAACATCTGCATAATTCTCACCTCTTGCTGGGCCATCAACTCTTATGAACCAAAATAATCTTTCTCTTCCCTTAGGAACTACTTGCTTATAGAACTGAGTCACTTGTTAGTCAGCCTGCGCCTCGGTAGTGAAAACGCTTACCCTGTCAGACTGGCTGTGGAGCACCAGTCATAGTGTGCTCCATTGTTCTTAATTTTGGGTTTAAGAGTTTAGTGCAGTGACCAGCACTGTAGGAGATGTAGCTCTGATTTCATCCCATCTTGCAGATCAGTTCAGCCGGAAAAGGTTGCCTGAGGGATCTGTCATTCGCTTCCTCTTGGTATTATTCTATGAGAAGTGGGATTTCCATGGCTCAGAGGTAAACTCTCAGCTTGAGAGCCACCCTAGGAGGAGTGGTATCATCCAGCCTCCAGTGCCCCTGTACAGGTGATGCTCAGAAATTCTAATTTCCCATTTAGACTGGACCCAGTCTAAAGGCAATGGGTTGGTTCTGGGCATTTTTTTTGTTTGTGGTTTCTTTTTTTTTTTTTGTTACCTGCCTGGGTACTGTGTATATGGGGAGGTGGTGGTTATATTGAACTGGTTAAATGTTAGTAAGACGTTTGTAGTTTAAGCCGGCAGTTAAAAACTTACCTAGATTATCCTTCCTTGGGAAGGAAGAATGAATTTTTTTGTTTTGTTTGTTTAGTCTGGAGAAGAGGAGGCTGAGAGGAGACCTTATTGCCCTCTACAACTACCTAAAAGGAGGCTGTAGTGAGGCTGGTGCTGGTCTCTTCTCTCTAATTACTAATGACAGGACAAGGGGAAATGGCCTCAAGTTGCGTCAGGGTAAGTTTAGATTGGATATTCGGAGGAAGTTCTTTACTGAACGAGTGGTGAGGCACTGGAACAGGCTGCCCAGGGAGGTGGTGGAGTCACCAACCCTGGAGGTGTTTAAAAAAAAAGTAGATCTAGCACTTGAGGCTATGGTGTAGTGGTTAGGTATGCTGGGAAGAAGGTTGGACTAGATGATCTTCAGAGGTCCCTTCCAACCGCTAACATTCTGTGATTCTGTGAATTGCCAAAAAACATACCAGGGTAAGAAGCTGCTGTGGTAGACATGAATGAGGCATTTGTGTAGAGGGATCAGCCTTGGCTGAAAGAGATGTGCGGCGTGACCACAACATGGACATCTTTGTTAGGTGGTTTAATTTAGAGATTCCCAGGCTCAGCACGCCTTTATAGACTCAGCTGAGATTCCCGGGCTCAGCATGCCTTTATAGACTCAGCTGCACTAGACGTTCTCTTCAGTTTTGTGGAAAGATGAAGTCTGCAGCTTCCCGAATGTTGGTCTCTTCTCTCCCAGATTATTACAGTCCTGCCATGTTGGGCCTGAAAACCGATCAGGAAGTCCTTGGAGAACTTGTGAAAATGAAAGTCCCGGCGGTGGCAGAGCTGATGGAAAGACACGGAGTCATGTGGACGCTTGTGGTGTCACGCTGGTTTATATGCTTGTTCATTGACATTCTTCCAGTGGAGGTAATTGATAACATAAAGTTCTCTTAATGTACACTCATAATCGTTATTTCATTTGTACTGCGTTAGTATTAATTACCTACTGAAAATCAAGGAGCTGCAACCTGAGTTCTCTCCTTTCCTCGCAGACTGTGCTCCGAATATGGGATTGTTTAT